AGAACCGGTCAACTTCAGCTTCTTCAGCATCAGTGGTTGGGGCATAGACTTGGATTACTGTTTATACCCCTACAGAATTAAATACTGATATTGTCTTAACTGCTTATTTGTTCGATATGATTAAGAGAGAATATGGAAGAGATGAAGAAGTATAAGAGCATGACTGTGAGTAGAGGTATGTTGTAGGAGCACCACATCTTCCAGAAGAACCTGAATGTACAGGCATGGATCTCTGTGCTGCCCAAATAGTCCTGCTTCAAAAAAAGTACTGCACTGATCTTTGAGATCAATGTATCCATTTACAAATAATTACAAAAAATCATCCAAAATCTGATATGTGTGAGAGTTAGAAAGACTTCAGGGTCAAGGCTTGATCCTACCTCCAATAAACCAATTCAAGTATCATATAACACTAATGAAAACTGCAGAAGCAAAAATCTCATGCTGAATAGCATAACTTTTCAAAATGGCAGAAATTGCTTTTTGAAATCTACTAGGAGTTTGCAGTTTTTCCAAGAATCTGATGGAGCTAATAAAAATATCTGTTCAGTTTCATATGCCAGCTGCTTTTTACTCACAGCTGTGTTTCTACAAAATGGAAAAAGGGCTCCGGTGCAAACTAACTGCATCTCCCCCAAATACAACTATTGCCATCAGACATAGGCTAATTTGTTTAGTGGTGTATCAAGATTGTCTGTCAGAACCAGTACTTTACTAAAATTGAAGTAACCCTAAGCTGCTGTTCTAGGGAAATATCATCTTATCCTTTGGCCACTTCAACAAAGCTAATCTTGAAGAATTACTTACTATGGAAAACAACAGTCTATTTAAAATATATTGGAAGAGTTCCAGTCACTTGTATTAAAAGGAGCAGTCCTAATTCCTGCAACGGAAAGAATAACGAAGAAATAAAATGCTAGAATCCTCAAAAAAAAATTCTAACATTAGGTCACCTATTGACCATCTGATAGAATGTTTCTTCTTCCATGTGATCCTAATTGCATTTAAGGGCAGCTAGTTATGACTGCAACAGTGAGACACAACTCTGCAGATTGTCATGACCCACATACCTAGTTCCTCTTCAATTTGAATGCAACCCCCCCAACAGTTGCTCCAGATTAATTATCCATCATAAACTGCTAATCTATCTTTTAATTAACAAAGTAATCCTTTGCATGTCTGTAGCACCTTTCATCTAAATCACATCACAAACAGAATTAATTAATGAAATTCCTAATGTACATGGATAGAATCTATGATACCAGATGATTTGATTGTATGGAGGAGCCAGGATCGCTTGGAACTTTAAAAGGCAATTGAAAGGAAATAATTTTAGATCTCTTGGGGCAATTGAAGATACATGTACTATAATATGGGGGGAAACGTTCATAAAAATGAAACATTTATTGCAACAAAATCACATTGTCCATCACTCAAATTCAACCTTTTTTTCTGGTAAAATGTCTGTCTCATCACATGCTGATTCAGAATTTAATTTTTAATTGAAAGTTTGGGAAAAATGCACTGCCAGATTCATGGGTGATATGAATTGTTTGGATTTATTTGATGTCAGTTATATTCTATCTCTTTATCCAACAATAAACCTGTACAGATCATGCTTGATTGGATCAAACTCAAGAAACCTGCTGGCACATACAGTACCAGCCTGTAATGACAAGTCTTGAGTAAATTTCCAAATGGCTACAGGTGTATAGTTGCGAAATAACCTTAGAGATTAACATTGTGGCATAAAAGTATTATATTAGATGGTTTTCAAGTTTTTTCCACCTCTCAGCTTTTTATGCCAGGATGTTTGCATGGTGTTTACTATACATATTTAGAAATATTAATTAATAAACCTTCAATTAACAGAATATCACATTGTTCCAGTTTTGCCCTAAGTCCTTCTTGCCAAGGTTCTACAACAGGAAAAAAATGGGAAAATCACTCAGCCCATGAAGAATCTGAAGCTATTTTATTAGCCAAATAAACATGTGTTATAATATAAATTACTGCATAAAATTGTGAAGCTTTGTGTTTAAAATTCTACCTATTTCCTTGACCAGTTTTCTCTGTTTTTCAGGAACATGTTTCCTGCCAACCTCGTGGAAGCCACTTTTAAACAGGTGAGAATGTGTCTCTCTCTCTAACTTTGGACCCTAAAAAAATATTCCCTTCCAATTCATAAGAAAAAAAAATACAAAAGCCATATACATTTCATTAGCCAAGACACAAGAACTTCTAAAATCACCAAGATTTGTATTATTTGGTTTAAAAAGGTGTTGACTAAGATTCAGGGGAGAAAAACTCTTCCTAATAGCCAGAAATGTTAGGAAATTAATTATGACCCTTAACAGCAAATGTTAAGAAATATGGGAGCTAGAAGAAGGGGGGAATTCCTGTGGTAGAAATCTCAGCTATCTGAAGTCCCATAAGTGAAATATGGTCTTGACTTTTTAAAAAATATGTGCAAATTAGGTGGCTTGGAGCTTTCCAAATATTATGGACAACCAACAGTTGCTTCCCATGATGAGAATGGATTTTAAAATATGTGGGGAATGCCAAGTTGTTTAGTAGAGTTCTGTATTATGCATGAGCTTTGCATGCAAAGTGTTCCAGATTCAGTTGTGGTACTTCCAGCTGGAGTCAGGAAGATCTCTTGTCTACAACCTTTAACAGCTATTGCTGGGCAGCGTATAAATCAGATTTCCTCCAACTTGGTGTTCCTCAAAGAGAGGTTGAAATTCATGATATCTGGAGGGATCCAGTTGGAGAAAAGTGGTAACAATTAGTTGCTTCAACTTTCTCCCCTCTAGATACACTATCAGTGCAAACCCCAGTGCATCTGGACCATATCAGTTTGGGGAAGGTAGCTATGGATAATACTGAAAAAGAGACCTTTACTTGTTATAAGCCAACATCTTATGTTCCCATGATTAACATTATATAGGTCTGAGTAGATTTGGCACCGAACAGATTTGAGTAATTTTTAAATGCAGTTCATAAGCCATACATGGCAGCCTATCAGACTTTTAAAAACCCACAGTATCTATCTATCTATCTATCTATCTATCTATCTATCTATCTATCTATCTATCAATCTATCATCATCATCATCATCATCATCATCCTACCCTCCCATCTGATGCAAAAGCACCCTCTGAGTTGTTTGTTCTGGTGCAGAGAGCAAACTGACAGCTCTCAAATCCCCCTTGGAAAAATATATTCTTAATCTTTGCAATAATAAATGACAATGATTTCCAGGCCAAAATATATGTATGTTTCCAGATGGAGGGCTTATAATAACTGTTAAAGCCATGAATACATAAATTCCATTTTTCTAGCTTCTCTGGAAAGAAACATGATAGAAAAGTGATGGGAAAAGAGAGAGGTGCTACTAATGGAGGGGAATGATGTCTGGATTCTGTGTAAAACTTCGCCCCATTGGGAGACACTGTATGGAGAAGGACAAATTTGCTCCCATGAACCCAGCACATCTGCCTCTTCTGTCTCTCTTTAGACCTCATTCTGCCACAAAAATCTATTTTTGTGTTTTGGAGACCCATGAAATGCTATTGGATAAGATGTGGGGAGCTACAGTATTATTATTGTTTTGCGTTCATTTACAAACTTTGAAAATTGGTTATTTAAAAGTATCTTTGACATGCTGAACATATGGAAATGTTTTGAATTTTGTTGAATATGGAAGTTGTTCCACAGTTGGATTGTATGGGTTAGAGTGTTCTTTTTCAGCTGTATTGCTTTCTTTACTGAAGATTTGAAAATATTAGAATAATCTTACATTTTAAACAATAGAGCAGTGTTTCTCAACCTTGGCAACTTTAAAATGTGTGGACTTCAACTCCCAGAATTCCCATGCTGTGTGGACTTCAACTCCCAGAATTCCCATGCTGTGTGGACTTCAACTCCCAGAATTCCCATGCTGGCTGAGGAATTCTGGGAGTTGAAGTCCACATATCTTAAAGTTGCCAAGGTTGAGAAACACTGCAATAGAGTTTAACCCAGATGATTTCTATTCTTTCAGTACCGAACCAAAAGCATTCCAATTGTCAAAGTGAACAAAGCACCATCTGAAAGTATTACTCGCCGAATTATAGTCTATGGCGTGCAGGATGAAAATGGATCCAACATTCAGAATTTTGCCTTGGATATCACACCATCACCAGAAGTGATTTATAAGTCAGAGCCAGGCACTAGTGAAGGCATGAATGTGTTGGGAATTGTAATATTCTCTGCTACCATGGGTAAGTTTTTTAAAATCCTTAAATCAGATAAATCAGATAAATTGGATGTCAAATTAAATTAAAATAGACTAGTCATGTGCTACCTGCTGCCTTCCAGACAAATTGTGCAATAACTCTATATTATTCCAGTTATTTATGCTTATTGGCTTTTATTAATTGAGGTGCCAGGCTGAAGCAGGCTGATATAGAGAAATTGTTTTTTCTAGAATTCCTGATGTTCTAACTTGCTAGCATTCAAAATTTCCACTTGGAAAACATATTTCACAATTATGAATATAATTTAAGTACTGTGGCTATATATCTAGCTGTTAATCCTACATAGCCCCCCTCCCCATTTTTTTCTTCCTTTTCCTAAGCTGGAGTTTTTAGTTTGGTTTTTTTAAAAAAAATGATGTTTTGCTTGTTTTGCTTCTCTCTGTAATTCCTAGAGTTTTTCATTTAAATGAAAAGGAGCAAAACATGTTTGTGGCTAGGATATTATTTTCAACAGTATCTGTGGCTAGGTCAGTGTTGTCCAAACCTGGCCACTTTAAGATGAGTGGACTTCAATTCCCAGAATTC